CGGAAGCAGAAAGAAAGAAAGAAAGAAAAACTCCAGCGGCTTTTGCCTACCATGTCCAGCCACCCAGCCCATGCTAACCCATAAATTTCGCCGACGCGCAAGAATCTCAAGAAAAAAAGAAATCAACTACAGGATTTACGGGTACCAGGCGTAGCTCTTGGTCGGCTGAGTACGCTCGCCATCCGTGATCTCGCTGGTCCACTTGGATTTCCATTCAACCTCCTGTGCCGCAGCATCAATGAGAGCTTCCTTGCAGTCTGGCGGAAGCAACTCGAGGATTTCTGGAGTCATGAACTCGGGATGTTCGGGGTTGGCGACGCTGACCAGGCCGTTAGGGCCAATATCGTGCACATCGCCGTCAGGGCCCGGGATGCCCATGTTTGAATACGGCGGGGATTCATAGACGATGTCCTGGACGACGTAGCGGTCGTGGAGATGAGCGGGAACAGGGGAAAAGGTAGTGGCAGGGCTTTCAGTAGAGATTTCGCCAGTGGTAGCCTCGTGGGATTCTTGGGTTTCGTGGGAGGTCAGGTTTTCATGACCGGGAGGAGAGCCTCCGTTGGAGAGATTCAATGAGTTCATGTTCGTCGTCAGCTCGGTTGGGGCGGACGCCAGAGCTGGGGGAATGCGCTCCCAACGGGCATGGGTTGGCTGCATGATCTTCGGGTGCTGCATAATATTGGTGTGGACATCGTACACACCACCCAGGTTCGAACGGCGCATTTCGGCGAGCTTTGAGTTAAAGTTACTGTACTATGCATTAGTCGACAGTCCTAATGGATTTCTCGCTTTCAAATATAGACTCACCTCGCAGCCCGGGCATGCTCGAGCATCCAGTTGTCATCAGTTACTGGCACACGACGTTTCTTGGTATCAACTGGTTTTCCACCAACAAGCGGGACCGCGGGCGCATTTGTGTGATAAACACTGCTTGCGCCGTGCCAGGCGACGTACTGATTCCTGTTGTAAGTTTCTCCAGGTCCGGGCAATCTGTCTTCCGGAACGGCCAGCTCGCCCTCCACATCACCGCGCTCGCGAGCAGCAGCTTCGTCATAATCGTCGGTGATCTTCTTGCCACCGACAATAATTTTTGCGCCGAACTCGCGGAACACCGATCGTGCGGTGACGACACCAATCGCTCGTCCCTTGTAAGAGTGAGGGATGAGATCGCGTTCAATCAAATCACGCTTGGCGTCATCATCAATGATAATCTTGTACAGCATCTTGTGCTTCTGGAAGAACAAGTACGAGTCACGGAAGCCAATGCAGCGGGCCGGTTCAGTCGACAACATGTAGAGGCGGTCTCCACGACCAAGGATCTTGAAGGTACGGACTCGATACTCACGTCCGCCTTGCAGGTGGCCATTCTCGTCGACTTTAGTAGCACCGATTGGGTCGGGCGGAATCGACACTTCGTCATTGATTACATCCATCATGTTGCCTTCCTTGTCAACAGGCACCTGCGTGAGATGAGAGGGACCGCGGTTGCGTGCCCAGCGTCCACCGCTAGCAGCAGGACGGCCACGGCGTCTTTTAACTGGAGTAGTGACTCGAAGTGGTGGCTCACCGTCAGCCGGATTCCATTCAGGCCGAGGGTACTTGGGTGGGCGACCAATGCGACGCTTGCCGCGAGGCGGAAGTGATGGGCGGCCAGGTCCGTAGGAAGGTGTGTTGTCTGTGTCGGCAAGAATTGAGTCTTCTGCGGGGGTCGCAACACTCAATCCTTCCTCTGGCTTGGGTGTGGCCGGTGTTTCGGGAGCCTCAAGCTCTGCGCTTTCGGCTTCAGGTTCAGGTTCAGGTTCAGGTTCAGGTTCAAGTTCACGTTTAGATTCAGGTTCAGCCTCGAGCTCGACGTCCGGATCTTTTTCGGGAGAGCCTTCTGGTTCGGCTAAGGGCGAGGAGGGGTGCGATGAAAGGACGTCCACCATCTCCTCATCAGACCCATCTGGAATTGAAGGTACATTTTCTAAAGCTGGTTAGTCGCAAACGCGTCTAAGGGGAGGGTGAAATCCAATGCATAGTAGGAGAAGGAGCAGATGTTTGCGACACGGGCCAATGTGTGGTTGGGATTAACTGACTTATCGACTTCGCAGCCGCCTGAGCGGCCGCCCTTAGCTTTCGTGGCATTTTATCGATAGTTGGTCGATATGCTGGGGAGGCGCAAATGGGGAGGAATAGCTGTTTTGCGAAGGGCCGAGGTTTTTCCGGGGCGCCGTACAATCTGCAAACGCGACAAACACTATATAATGCAAACAAGGCAAACTACACAGCATCCTATGACGTCATATGATCTTTCTTCGACGGGGCATTTCGGGCTGGCCGTGGATCGGCAAACATCCTGCTTCTGACTGTTTTTCCATATTCGTTCTTTTCCAATTCTAGACCCTCAACCGCCATTGCCGTCTCAAAATGCCCGTGTTAAAGTGATATCATAGGTTCCCCGCATGGGACAGCATCTTGGGCTTTGTGTTACCCCCTAGTTGGCCTGTACGGCAGTGCGGGGATTCAATGTTCAAGATAAGTTCATCTATGGATCTACATGTTGACAGAAACCCGGAAGTACTCACCGGTTCGTTTAGCGCACCGTTCCCTCCCGAATAACATCGCCATTATTATTGGGTGCCAATTGCATCCATCCAACAAAGAGACGACTGCATCGAAACGCATAGGTTAATTGCTTGTGTGACCGCTGACCTCATTTTCTGCCTCTATTTGCAGTCAATCTCCAATATCACATGTGAGAGATAGCTCCTGGATCGAACCGCCTAGCAGGCTTGAGCAAACCATATCCCGTGTCAGTAGGAAAGTCGCTTAGGATAAAGGAACATGTTTCAATCACAGTAGCGAGTCAGCGCTTCGACCAGGTTGATTATCGACAATATCTGAATCGGCTTTACTAGCAGCAAGTTGGAATAGCATATTAAAACCCATATCTTTTCTTTTTTTTCTCGGCCCAGCAACCGAGGAAACGTTAATCGTTTAGTATAAGAATATCCCGGAAATATATTTTTTCTGATCAAGTATAATTTCTGCAGAGAGCTAGAAGCTTGCGAAAAATCATGTTGAGTGGCTTTCAAAGGTGCTTACTCTGTTGCACGGAGTACAAGCCGCAGATCCTGTCCCAGTGCAGATGACCTACAAATTCAATCCAAACTCGGACTCGGTCTTGTGCATAAGGGAAAATGCGCAGTGAAATCATGCAGGTTTCGGCTGTACATCGATGTAGGTTGTATACCACAAAGGTTGTCGAGATGTCCATTATGAACTGCACGGACTCATGGTAAATGCAAATGAATACGCACCTATATCATGCAAGTCCAGGGTATGAGGAAACCAGATATCTTTCTTGAACCGACGTCCTGGATCTTTATTTCCATAGCATATCATTCGTCATACTACATAAACCCGAGGGAGATTGCGGAAGGTAAGCGCCGATCACCTCTTCCCCCACCTATTCGAGGGCATGGATACTATAATTTGAGGGGCTAAAACGAAGATCGGCAAGAGCTCCCTAGCGTCTCTCTTTCCTTCTACAATATATTGTACAGTCGCAGCGAGCTCACTTCTGTGGCACGTACATCATCCATGCACGACCCGGGTCTTAAATCCGCCGAACCACATGTTAGTGTAGAGGCTGGGACCTCACGGCGCGCCCCGATGACGCATGTGGAGGCCTGGGAGCATCCCACTGCGACCACAGCATATCTCACATTTCACCTGGTATGCAGGTGCAAGGGGAGCTGAGAGGTAGACCCGGGCCATATTAAAAGCTGAAAGGTTGTCACAATCTCGCGATGTGTGGATGGGAACTCGATCTAGGGGTTTCACAGTCGACTGTATTTCATTATTTATGGAAAATCGTCCTAGGGGATTTAGTATTAACTAGTTGTGTACAGATAGACTAAAAATGTATACATAGTATGCCATGTATATATATACTACTAAGTAGAACACGGAAACCATCCGAATATAAGAAGCCGGTTCATCGTATACTCCGATGTTGTCATCAGATGCAGTAATGAGATCCCTGTGAGAGTGGAGATAGAGATTCGGAGCGCGATAAGAGAGGAAAAAGGAAAAATACCAAAGAAAAAAAGGGCGCATGCTGAGAGGCGAATTCCTCTCAGCCTCTTTTGGTCAGGTCCAGTATAGCCACATGTCCTTGGGAGCCTGTCATTCGGACTATTGACCGTGACCTGAAAATGCAAGAATCTTGTTCTCCTCACATCCTGGAAAGCGAAATCAGAAGGAAATAGGGAAGGAAGAGAAAATAGCTCCCTTCCGGACAATTCTCTTGATATCTATGTAGAGGTACCTACATATGTACATATGTACATAGGCGCGATTGAACATTGTCACTCATCTCTCCACATGACGATAAGTCTTTTAATGTTTCCCTCATTTTTCTGATCCCTGATTGCCGATGATTCCTCATTTCTCATTCATTTCCGCTCTTCAGGAACCGGAGGACGAATTAGGAAATAAAGTGTAGATGACTCGGGATTACTCCGTAGACAATACAAGAATGCGTCAGTGTTCCTTTCCAATTTTTTAGTTCGAGTCCTTTTGAGAACCTTTATCTTGTAAGCTTCAGCTTCATTCAGCTGAGTTGTCTCATAAGCTTATATATTATATCTTATGTATGAGCTTATGGCCCTCCAGGGCTTCCAAGGTTAATAATACACAGCCCGGAAACATGCACTATCAATGAAAGCCTTTTTTTTTTTATCTTTCAGTGGGGTTCTATATTACCGAAGAGAATCCCACTCCTAAATCCAAAAACTTTATCGAATCGCTTTTTCCCCCCCAAAACCTCCCAAGCAGAATAAAGCAGAATAAAACCGAATTCATTTTCTTGTTGGGGAAAATCCGAACGGGTTCAAATCCATCCCGCAAACTCCCTTAGCTCATCAAAAAAACCCTCATTTCTTTTTTTTTTCCAACTTTCCAGTTTCAACACCCCCACTTCTCGCTCCTCATCTTTCTTGAATGGAAACACAATGGCTGCGCAGAGTGGACCCGTGTTGCACGGCGACGACATGAAGATAATGAAGTGAGTCAACTTCTTATATCTTTTCTTTGGCTTAGGCATTCCTCTTGAAAGGCGGGGTTGAAGAGGGTAAAAAAAGAGGGTCCACGATCCCCTCACACCGCATTGCATTACAGTCTGTTCTTGTTAGGGTTGACCTGCATGAAACATTGCGTTTCGAGGATGATGGCTTTCTCTCAGATCCTCGGTGTTTCGCCTTTCTTCTCGGACCTTGTCGGAATTTGCCTACAACTTTTGAATTGAAGATTTTATCGGAATCATTTCGTTGGCTAACCTTTAGTCCCAATAGCTCTGGACTGGAAGACGACACCCAAGATCAGACCAGGTCGAATGGTTCTACCCCCACGCCGACTGGAATCGCAACACCTGAACCTGATCCGGTCGACAAGCGTCTGCCTTCCATTATGCACAACTACTTCCAGGTTGGTTCTTTCTCCGGTGATAAAGCGAGTCTGCCGCGGTTATGGTCATGTCTGTCGAAACCCTCTGTGGACCTTCAATCAAATGCGCGTACCCAACACTCCTCCGATTCCTCCGAGTCTTTTGTCATGATGGAGCAGGAAGATGGGTCTGATAAGATGGAGGAACATCCCAGTCTGCATACCCCTCCACATTCCTTGTTACAGCACGAGTCGGATGAGATGGAACTCGGGACGAGTCCAGGAGTGTCCTCTATCTTTACAACGCTGAAGAATTACCTCATTTCACCCACACAAACTCCTCCAGAAGACCCTCCTTCCCGCCGTCAAACCTCCCTCCCAGTATCCAGCGTCTCTGACGACCCCGTTCTTGCCACACATTTTTCCAATCCATCCCTCCCTCCTGTATCAGATGCCTTTTCCCTGACTGAAGCTCCCCTCCTCGACCATGAGAAACCGCATGTCTCAATATCTTCTGAGAACCTAGCCAAGCTAACTGAAAACGTGCCCGATGGGTCGCGTCTTAAGAATACCCCACCTCTTACTCCCCGGGCCATGTCCAACGAGGTCCCAGCCGCCCAGGAAAAGAACGCCACTTCCGCCCCGCGAGAGAGCACACAAGAGACCCCACAGTCTGAGTCAAAGCCGGAAGACATGGAAAGCTCCACGGACGAGATCACTATGAAACTCGATGAAGCATTCCCACCCCAGTGCCAGTCTGAGGCTGCGCCTGCGTCTGCAACATCAACATCCCCGGCCAACGGCGCGCCCACGGGCCCGATCAATGGTAAACTGTTTGTTAAGATCACCGATGGTCGAGGACTGCGGCCGAGTTTCGATCCGTATGTGGTGTGTGTATTTGAATGGAATGAGTACATCTCCAAAGGCACTCGCGACGGCGAGGAGGAAAAGAAACGGCGCCAGCAGGAGTCAGATGCCGAGGAGGCTGCTGGTCGGCCCATGGCCATTCCGTTGAAGACTCGATCTAGCTCCCACAACAGTGCTGTCGAGGGTGATCACAAGGGGCGGATGCCCGTGACAGACCCGCACTGGGATCATGAGGCCACCTTGTATGTTACCCCAACCCAGCTCCTTCACTTGGGTCACTCACTAACACGCTCTGTTAAGTGATGTTATGGGAGATCAGTCGGAACTTGATGTCACAGTCTATGACCGCAACAACCAGGAAGCTTTCTTAGGTCACGTACGCCTCTGCGTCAACCTCAAGGAAGATCACAGCCGACTAGAAGGCTGGTTCCCCTTGGTCGCGCGCGGTGCTGGCGACAACCAAGTGTCTGGAGAAATTCACCTCGATATGAAATTCGAAAAGACAGATCGACAACAGGTCGGACCGAATGACTTCCTCGTCCTAAAACTCATCGGCAAAGGGACTTTCGGGCAGGTCTATCAGGTCAAGAAGAAGGACACACAGCGTATCTATGCGATGAAGGTGCTCTCTAAGAAGGTGATCATTCAGAAGAAGGAGGTAGTACACACGCTCGGAGAGCGCAATATTCTAGTACGCACCGCGATGACGGCCTCTCCGTTTATTGTTGGATTGAAGTTCTCCTTCCAAACTCCGACAGATCTCTACCTCGTTACGGATTACATGTCGGGCGGCGAACTGTTCTGGCACTTGCAGCGTGAGGGTCGGTTCCAGGAGGCCCGGGCGAAGTTCTACATTGCCGAGTTAATTCTGGCTCTGCAACATTTGCACGACCACGACATCGTATATCGGGATCTCAAACCAGAGAACATTCTACTGGATGCCAACGGTCACATTGCGCTCTGCGATTTCGGTCTATCGAAGGCAAACCTGTCACAAAACGATACCACCAATACCTTTTGCGGTACCACTGAATACCTGGCCCCGGAGGTATTGCTCGACGAGCAAGGATACACAAAGATGGTCGACTTCTGGTCCCTGGGTGTCTTGGTCTTTGAGATGTGCTGTGGCTGGAGTCCGTTCTACGCCGAGGACACTCAGCAGATGTACAAGAACATCGCATTCGGCAAAGTCCGATTCCCCCGTGATGCGCTTAGCACCGAGGGAAGAAATTTCGTCAAGGGTCTGCTGAACCGGAATCCCAAGCATCGGCTGGGCGCCAATGGCGACGCCAAGGAGCTCATGGCACACCCATTCTTCCACGACATCAACTGGGACACACTGTGCCGCAAGCAAGTCATTCCTCCGTTCAAGCCGCAGCTGCAGTCTGAAACCGACACGTCGAATTTCGATCCCGAATTCACAAACGCTATGGAGCTGAATAACTCGCTCAATCTCCGCGCCGCAAACATCGCCAACGGCCTAATGCCAGCCTCCACACCCTTATCTCCCGGGATGCAAGCCAATTTCAAGGGCTTCACCTTCGTGAATGAGAGCTCTATTGACCATCACCTTATGGATGACAGCGATCATATGGAAGACGACGCCATGCACGACGATCACTGGCAACGAGGCCACCGGTCAGGCAACTCGGTCGACCAGCGCATGACAGGCGTCCAGAAGACGCGCGACGGCACGGAACCCGGGATTTTCAACGTTGACGATACCTTTGACATGTGATTACGTCTTTTTTTTTCTCCTACTGCATGATCATGGAGTCTTGATCTGGCATACATTATTATTTCTTGTCTTGTCTTGTACATGCCTTCGGATTGCATCACTTCCGACTCGCAAATATGGGTTGCTGTTTCCATTCCCATTTAACATCGCCTTGTTTCCGCGAACTTTGCCCCCACTTCCTTTCCTTATCCTTTCGGTCTGTTCTTCTGTTCTGTCGAATGTCGGGTGGAGCCGGTGATCATTCTGCGATCGTGCACCACTCCTGGGTACTAATCTTGAGCCTCGCCACTCGTTATGATTACAACCCTCCCGTCCAGTTCCCAGTCACATACCCCCACCCCCGGGGTTTAGGTCAGTTTCTTCACGTTCCGTTTCAGAGGAGACCCCGGGGATTATTGCGTATTTGGTGGAGTTGGGTTTGGGTAATTTTCATTGTGCACTTTATTGTCAGTCATCATCTTCTAGGGCGATTAGTCAAAGCGAACTAGCTCTCTTTGGCTTTGTCTCTTGTCCTGTTCCGGCGCAGTGTTGATAGCTTTATTCTCTATCCTCTGGGATTGATGTCCTGAATTTTGATACCTGCTCTTCGCTCTTGGGTCTTTTCTCCGGTCTTCTCTCCTGCTTCTGCCTTTGCCTCCTCTCTTTGCGGGGTTCCCTGTTCCAACATGGTACGATGGTAATTGAGGGATCTTTCCTCGCGGATTTTTTTTTTCTTTGCATATCCGGATTTGATTGAAGCTACCCAGGTTCAAGGGTAACCGAGTGGTAGTAGATGGTTCATTCCAGTTCCATTTTCATGGCGTCAAGACTGACATCGGCATCTCATGGGGCTCGATCCGTGTCTGCATTTACGAGGGGGAGGACAGATATGCTGTTCTAGTCGAATGTCGGATTCTTCTATACGATCCATCCATTATTGCGGTGGGCCTCGGGAATTCTTACTACTTCTAAGCTCTCCTGGCAATGCTGTTCCCCGAAAGCATGTCATTTACTGCCATATTCCTTTAGTCCGATGCCCTGTACCTCGCCCATCTAGGTACATACAATATAGGCATATGTCTATATAGGGACTGTCAACCAATAATGACACTAAATGCAGATTCGCACGATCCTCTCCTATCATCTGTTCTATCCTCTCGCCGACTGTTCTATATGTGCATGCAGCCTTATACTAGTACGGAGTAGTCTGGGTGTTGTTAGGGACCTACTTTCCCTTTTAAGCAAATGTTTCCTCGCCCAACTACGCTCCTTCTACTTCTGCCACTTTCTGACTTTTTCCTTCCGTTTGCGAAGTACACATGTAGATAGGAAGGTGCAACCTAAGAGAGGAAATGGAAATAATTTTATAACCCCCTCCCCTGCAATCCAGAAGCAAGTCAACATCCCTAACTATACATATCCAAACCCAAAATGACCCAAAAATCAAAACCAACAATCCTCCCCTCAACCTACGCGCGAACAACACCCCCAGAAACATTCCCAAACTCAGCCCACGGCGATATCTCCTGGCATACCCTAATCTCATCCCATCCCCGCGAACAGAGTCCATAGACCTCTGCGCAGGGATAGCGACGTGTCCACCAGCGACAGGCCACCTGTGCGCGCACCGCCACGTGCAGGCTGAGATATATCATATCCTGGAAGGCGAGGGCAATGTGACGATCGACGGGGTTGTGAGCAGAGTGCGGGCTGGGAGTACGGTTTTTATTCCTTCGGATGCTGAGCATGGGATTGTTAATGTTGGGAGTGCGGACTTAAGGTGGTTTTATGTTTTTCCTACGGGGAGTTTTGGGGATGTTCTCTATCGGTTTAAGGAAGATGAGGGGACATGCAAGGGGATGGAGAAGACGAAGTTGTGAGAGTGAGGTTGCTTTATGGCCGATGCTAGATATAATCACAAGTACATACGGTACTAGGCGATGGCTTGTGAACTGTGACCTGTATTGATACTTACAGATAGCTGCAGATCATGTGTGAACCCGTTTTCATGAAGTTCAGATCCATGGATTAGAACCCTACCTTGTGTCACTTGAGCATACTGACCTCAAGACCTCTCAGACGCAATCAAGTGGAATGTGCTCATCATTCCATCCGAGGCGCCTAAAGCCAGGCATGTATCTCCCAAGTAGAACGATTCATTAATCGTGGTTCCCGTCTCGATTGTAATGCAGGTACGTCGGACAAGTGGACCTTCCAAATGGAATTTCCAAATTCTAGGATCATGTCGAGAGTGGCACCCTCTCGGAAGCCTTACGGGGTACAGTGACTGGACATAAGTTTCTACCCTGTCTCTGGCCCCACCCAGCTCACCGCCACTGAAAACTTATACCGCCTATCTAGGGAGGTAGCATAGGACCACGCTAAAACAGTACGCGACATAAACCCAGGATAGAGCATCTCTCTGAGACGATGCCGCACCGGGTACAGCTGGAACCTGGTTATAACGAACTCGGGCGTAACGAATACCCGGATATAACGAACGAAAACCGGTGCTTTAATTAATCTGCCATACAAAATTCGTTATATCGAGGTCTAGTCAGCCAGATTGACCAATTAAATGCCTCTCTTCAATAGATCCCCACCTCGTAGAAGCTCGGTCCACCGCTCCGACGGTCGCTCCACAAGAATTATAGTGACTCAGGCCCTTCCTCTCGGGGTAACAGGGTAGTTAACTATTACGCTCTAGGAAAGTGTAATAGGTTACTAAGAGCGAGGAAAATAGGAGGGCTAAAGTATAGTGATATTAGGGCATTTTTAGGGTCTAAATTTGTAGATATATATACATATATAATGTATGGCACCTTGATTTAACGAAGACCTGGATATAACGAATTTTTTGCTGTGTCTGCTTTAATTCGTCATAACCAGGTTATACTGTAGAAGCTATTACTGAAGGTCAGGGGTGGTATATACTAGATTCTATATTATGAATTCATGGAGGCTTTTGACTGGCAGTATATTATATAATCAGGGGGTGTAGACACCAGTCACTGTACCTAGTCACCAGCATAACAAGAACCAATGACGCAATTGGTCGCAGTGCTGGAGTTGGAGCCTCAGTGCGTCCCCACCAGATCGGAGTTTCAGCTGTGAGACTCTTCCACGTTTCGATCTGTTAGAGGGAATTGAGATATACATACATAGCCGAGCGTTCCGCTTTGGGTTGCGTAGATGAACTACGTACGGAGTACTACGCGTTGAATCTTTTTTGTATGGAGTGATTCATTCGCCGATCTTGCTATTTTGATCTGGAGATTGTTGCTAGGGAGTTAGTCGACACGAGCGATGTCTTTTAGGTTTAATAATAGGTACATCTTCCAAGGTTAGACTATGCGATATTATAGGTGGTTATATTCGGGATGGGCGAGGCTGATCTTGTCAATAATGCTACATATGTCGATCCCTTGATGCCATGCAGTGACGTGCAGACCAACTCTGGAGTATTAATAAATCCGAAGTCAAAAGTCAGAAAGGCGTTCCTGAGCCGCCCAATTGCCTATTTCATTGGCCTGCAGGGTGATGTGCGCTCGAGCCATTTTGATATAGAAAGGGATAACCTGAGAGTATGAACTACTATAAGCTGAAACATCTTGCAGTACTATCAATCTAAATTAAGCTAAAACGTACACTGTCGAGAGATAATAATATAATAATATAAGAGGAGTACAATACGAATAGAGCAAAAGGAAAGAGAAAAGGAAAAAAAGGGAAAGGGGTACGACATGGACCCACCAGATTAAACCCAAATAGGGGATAGCGTGGTCAGGTACACGAACCTTTGATGTTTTTGATATTCATCTTACTTAGTGTAGTCCGTGTGTACCTAGCTAATATAGGGATATTAGAGGATTGTAGTTCTTATTTTATATCTACAAGTTGATACAGAGTATATTGTAACATAAGAATTACAATTCCCTATATCCGGTGCGAATATAAAATATCGTATGTGGTCCCAACCCCTGAACCGCCCTTCCCGTCTCCGCTCTACACCTGCGCTGCACGGCTTACATTGACATGGAGTCCACGGGGACCTTCAACTCATTCCTGATGTGGGGGAGATCGACTGACAATTCTCTTTCTTTTCTTTCCTTTTTTCTTTTTTACTTTTTCCGGATTTTCAACGTGGCGTGCTAGCCCCGAGAGCGTTTCTGATATTAGTTCCAGATATCTCTTTTACTACTCTTACTCTTCTGTTTCTTCACCCCATTCCTTGACCGGGTCGTTCAATACGTGTGTTGTGACTATATAAAATCGGTTGGAATCTGCCGATCTCTATATATTACGCCATTTTCCGAACTCCCCCTTACATCCCCGAACCCCTCCACCTCCCTATTGGGAATTGACGTTGCTTTTTCCTGTATCGCGTCGTTTGCTCCGATGCCAGAGCAAATTCACAATGAGTGTTGTCGCCACTAGAACAGAGACCCCTGTGGTATCTTACAATTCTATCCCTGAGAATCATGTCGACTATTCCATTCATTCACGAACGTCCTCGATATCATCCTACAGAACCAACTATACCGCTTCAACCGCGCCGACCACATATTCCCCATCCTCGCCATCATCATCTTACCGTCAATGCGACTCCGTCAATTCTCTTCCCAAGTTAACTGAACCAATTCAACGCCGAATACCGCATGAGGTCTATGAAGTGATAATCCACCATTTAGAGGAGTTGCACAAAGGGCAGCACCAGACAGGATGCACCACGTGTTTTCAACGCGACTTACACGCCTTATCCTTGACCTGTCGGTCTTGGGAAAAGGCTGTTAGAGGTCCTCTGTGAGTTCGAGTCCACATTGATTAATTCAAGGTTATCAAGAAAACCAGGATTATTTGCTGATTGAACATACCATACTAGATACCACAGTATACACATTGTTGGAAATGACTCCCCGGCCCAACTCAAGAAGTATCGTCTGAAGAGAGGGAGTCGTCTGAAGCTCCTGAGACGAACCCTCCGCGAACGGAAGTTGCTGGCCAACCTTGTATATGAGCTACGCGTGCCCCAATTAGATTTGCTCTTTACCACGACGAAACAAGGCCCGCAGTGGCAGGAGTATCGAGACTTGGTAGCATCCGTGGTCATGGTGTGCCCGAATTTGGAGCGCCTGCTGGGCTTGTCTATCCCGTACCACCATGAATTCGACCGCCTGACCCATGCTTTGTCGACCCGAAAAAAGCTCAAAGAGCACACATGGGTTTTGGGCGAGCCCGCAGAAGTATCGGAGCTGTCCCCGCGCGATCACTCTTGTCCTGGGAGTCTGGGTCCCTCCCAAATGTTCGAGTTTCTAAATTATCACGACTCGTGGACGAATCTGGAGACACTGATGCTTTATGGGTTGAACGGAAATGGCGCGTTGGAGCCTAGCATTTCCCTGCGCATCTTCAACCTTCTTCCCTCACTGCGAAACCTTTGCATTACCTCCTTCAACAAAGACTCCTTCGATGATAGCACATTGATGTGTCTGCCGCCATTGGAGTCATTAAGGTTGGAGAACCTGCCCGGGATTACAGATGCTGGCCTCTCGCAGTACGCTTCACGACCTGAATCACTCTCCCTCAGGACACTCGTCCTGATCGAGCAAAACGTCGAGTCACTGCTAGTCCTCTCCAAAATCCTCGCGTCACTACGACGACTTGAACGGTTCAAGATAGTCCAGACCGAAAAGTGCCCAACTTCGCCAGATGATCATATGATCTTCCAGCCTATCCTTGCCTCATCAACTCTAAAATATCTCCACTGGGATGTGGCATGCCCAGACCCAGGCACAGCCCTCACCCAGCTTGATACCCTCCCCTTCCAGAAACCCACAAGACCCTCCAATACCCCTAATTATCACCTTGCCCAAAGTATCATCTCCGCTGGTTTCCCTCAATTGGAAGCTCTCCGTGCACCCTCCGACGTGGAGCCCCCAGGTGCGCTCCAGGCTGTCTGCCGACCGATATTAAAGGGTCAAGCCTTACTCCGACCTGACCGGTACAGCTTGCCTCGCAGCTCCCACGGTTCCGTGAATACTCGACCGCTCGCTCTACCAGCCGGGAACAATCTGACCTCAGCTCGAATTCGTGCCCAGACGTTCATCGACATGGCCGCTAAGGACACCGAGGCCGGCATGCCGGTTCTCATACAAGATTACTCCGACTCGTATGTGCCGGACAACGCGCAGAACTCCCAATTCGAAGAAGACCCCGATCAGGAAATGGACGACTACGGGATCTGGGCTGCCTGCGAGCGGTTCAAACACAAGGATAATGACCACAGCGGCCCTAAAACGGTCTACGAGTTCCGCATGCCAACCTTGATGGGCCGTAGTGGTTTCCGGGATCCTGCAACAGGCGCCTCAATTCCCCACTTCATTCTCCGTCCTGATATCACCGGTCAGGAGTTAGACGGTGGCTTGATTGGCTGGAAGCAACTGCTAGCCTCGAACCAGTCGCTGTCATATGCGGCCGGAGTAGGCGTCAACTGCTTCGGCGGCGGAAGCCCTTCTATCCCACCTCCCGAGGAGCCCATGTCGCCTGCATCCAGCATTTCCAGGTTTGGATGGGGAAGCTTGAGTGGGCGGTCTGTGACGGGTACATCACCAGCGACACCCACGACACCACTCACCCCTATGAGTAGTGCATTGGGCTCGGCCTTGCCTTGGGAGAAGGATACCTGCACTGGCACCTGGAACCACAAAACGGGCCGGGACTGGTGGTTCCATATGGAGCGTGATCGTCCGGGCAACTCAGAGCTCGTTGACATCAAACAACTTTTCTAACTCGTTGTTTCGATCTTTTCTTTTTTCAAGTCCTTCTATTTCTTGTCTACATATACTCTACGCCATATACCCCACGCTTGTTATATTTTCTTTTTGTCATCTCTTTTCTCTTTCCATTGCGTTTCGATCGTCCAGGTAGCTGGTTCTTACCTCATCTTACAGGGTTAATCCATAATACACGCGCTGCTGTGTCAGATGACGGAGATGGCGTTGCATGGTTAATGACTTGTGCTTTGAATCTTTGGTCATTAGAACTACATATGTTATATCATTATTGGCGCGCGCACAGTTCTTCTTTTTGTCTTATTTGAGTCTGCGTACTCCTTGCATCATATATGTACAGAATTAGCCACATAAATTGAACAGCATATGAAACGCCTCATTATCCTTTATATGGAAAAATATGTAGCCCTATAGCCCTATAGCCCTACGTAGTATGGTCACTTTGACACCTGGACAATGTGGCATCCAGGGACTCCAAGGCGGTATCTGTCAGCAGGATAGAAGGTGACTCATCCCGGGCTAAATCGGACCGATAAGCGAATGCCAACTGATAAGCATTGAATACAAAGAGCCCCTCGTTGCGAAAAAAAAAATCCCCATCTTCGCTTTCACGATCGTTATCCGTCGCAATGGACACCGCAAAGCCCGTCGACCTGCCTGAGAGGCCCAAGGAGGCCACCGAGCCTACAGATCCACCCAAGAAGTCCAAGAGTCAGGAGAAGAAAGAGGCTGCAGCGGCCAAGAAAGCGGCGGCCAAGCTAGCAAGACAGGACCAGCCCAAATCAAAGGGAGAGCCAAAGGCACCCAAGGCCAAGGAGGCCCTTGCTCCCCGGGATCCTGAGGCCATGTTCAAGGTCGGCTTTCTGCACGACGTGTATCAGGAAAAGCCTCTCTCCGAGACCGTACCCAAGATTCGCACGCGATTCCCGCCCGAGCCTAACGGATACCTCCACATCGGTCACAGCAAGGCCATCGCAATAAACTTCGGATTTGCGAAGCACCACGGTGGCGAGTGCATCCTGCGCTTCGACGACACCAACCCAGAAGGCGAGGAGGAACGGTACTACAATGCCATCCGGGAGATTGTGACATGGCTCGGCTTCACACCTGTGCGTGAGACCAACGCCAGCGATAACTTCGACCGCCTGTACGAGCTCGCAGAGGACCTCATCAACCGTGATGGCGCATACGTCTGCCATTGCACAAAGTCCGAGATCAAGGCCCAGCGTGGTGAGGTTGAGGGCGGCCAGCGCGGCGGAGAACGCTTCGCATGCAGCCACCGCACACGACCTATCGAGGAGTCCATGGCCGAGTTCCGCGCCATGCGCGACGGAAAATACAAGGCAGGCGAGGCGGCGTTGCGTATGAAGCAGGATATCACAGACCCGAACCCGCAGATGTGGGATCTGTTCGCTTGGCGCATCATGGGCACTGAGGACAAGCAGCACCACCTCACCGGCGGCAAGTGGAAGATTTACCCGACCTACGACTTCGCGCACTGTTTGTGTGATAGCATTGAGGAAATCTCGCACTCGCTGTGCACAACCGAGTTCGAGCTCTCCCGCGTCTCGTACGAGTGGCTCTGCGATAAGCTGGAGGTCTACCGCCCCAACCAGCGCGAGTACGGCCGGCTCAACATCACCGGCACAGTTCTGTCCAAACGCAAGATCATCCAGCTCGTCAAGGAAGGACATGTCCGCGACTGGGATGACCCACGTCTGTACACGCTCATCGCGCTGCGCCGTCGCGGTGTGCCCCCCGGCGCGATCCTCGCCTTCGTTAACGACCTCGGCGTAACAAAGAACACCACCAACGTCCAGGTCGGCAAGTTCGAGCAGATCGTCCGCCAGTACCTTGAGACCACAGTCCCACGGTTGATGGTCGTCCTCGAGCCGCTGAAGGTCATCATCGACGACCTCCCGGAAGACCATGTCGAGCTGCTCGACTGCCCCTTCTCCAAGGACCCAGCCTTCGGCACCCACAACATCCCCTTCACGAAGACAGTCTACATCGAGCGCTCCGACTTCCGCGCCGTCGACTCACCAGACTACTTCCGCCTTGCCCCAGGCAAAACAGTCGGCCTCCTCAAAGTTCCCTACCCCATCACGGCGACCTCCTTCGAAACAGACCCTGCCACCGGCGAGGTCACCTGCGTGCACGCCAAATACGAGAAACCCGCCGAAGGCGAAGCCCCCATCAAACCCAAGTCTTTCATCCACTGGATCGGCGAGTCAGCCGCGCACAACAGCCCCATCCGCGCTGAGGTCCGTGCTTTCAACTCGCTCTTCAAGTCAGAGGATCCGTCTGCCCACCCGGCTGGCTTCCTCGCTGATATCAACCCGGACTCCGAGGAGATCTTCAAGGATGCTATGGTCGAGACTGGATTCCGGGATATCTCTCGCTCGGCGCCCTGGCCTAAGGAGGAGGGTGCTGGGGAGCCTGGTGAGAATAAGCACTCTATTCGCTTCCAGGGTATGCGTGTTGCGTACTTTGCTGTCGATCGCGAGTCTACTGATGAGAAGTTGGTGCTCAATCGCATTGTTACTCTTAAGGATACCCAGGGTAAAAATTAAGACTTAGACCTGGGGGCTTTCTGATCAGAGTGTCTTTTTTCTTTGTCTTGTGACTCTTCGATTTCCCTTTCTTTTCCCCTTCCCTGTTTCTTTTTTTTTTTATATAAAACTCATGGGGGAAGGTGTGTGGGTGTGTGTGATGAGCCACGGTTGTTGGTATTGATTTATGACCATTGCATCTTTGCGTGTCTTTGTATCTTTTTTTTGTCCTTGGGATTCTTTAGGTTACTGTGGTATTCACTATGCATAAGAGATTCTAGTAGCAGTTATTGATGTACGCTACAATACACAGTGATCAAGCAGGACTTTTGAATCTGAATATATATTATGTCTACGAGTTCAGCTCCGCCATATAGACAGTGTCATGGCGCGACAAATGATTAAATACCATTTACTTGGGAGTATAAAGAAAATCGTAATAAGAAGGTCCACGCCATTCATGCATAACGAATTACCGGCTTCCATTCAAGCCGAGGCAGCATACATACACGAGATGACTCGAGACATCAAAGAGAGGCAACAAAGCAGAGAAGAAGGTGTGGATGGGGACATAAAAAGCAAGACGGTCAACTCTAAACATAGATACCCATGTTGGTATCCTTCTTCTTAGCCTGGACCTCGGCGATAGCATCGACGTAGTTCTCATGACCGATCTTGCTCTGACCCTTCCGGAGCGCAATCATACCAGCCTCAACACAAACAGCCTTGAGCTGAGCACCGCCGAACTCGTCCGTGCTGCGAGCCAACTCGGCCCAGTTGACGCTGTCCTCGACGGACATCTTGCGCGAGTGGATCTGCAAGATGTTGGCACGAGCTTCCTCGTTTGGCAGGGGGAACTCGATCTTTCTGTCCAGACGACCGGAACGCAGGAGGGCAGGGTCCAGCACGTCGACACGGTTGGTTGCCGCTAGGACCTTGATGCGGTCGTCAGAGGCAAAGCCGTCCAATTGATTCAGGAGTTCCAGCATGGTTCGCTGCACTTCGCGATCTCCGGATTTCTCTGAGTCGAAACGCTTGGTACCCACGGCGTCTAGTTCGTCGATAAAGATGATGGAGGGAGCCTTCTCCTTGGCCAGGGCAAAGCAGTCGCGCACAAGCTTGGCACCGTCTCCGATGAACATCTGCACCAGTTGGGGTCCGGCGAGCTTGAGGAATGTGGCGTTCGTCTCGGCGGCACAAGCACGGGCCAGAAGCGTCTTACCGGTTCCTGGGGGTCCGTACATCAAAGCGCCTGGGGAAGGAAAAGGAATAGGTTAGTCTTGGAGTACAGGAGAAAGGAGAAAGTAACTCACCCTTAGGGGCCTTGATGCCGATCTTCTTAAAGCGCTCTGCCTCCTTCATAGGCCATACGATGGCTTCCACGATCTCTTCGATCTGCTTATCCAGACCACCAATATCTGTGTACTTCTCCGTAGGCTTCTCGTCGACCTCCATTGCCTTGACGCGGTTGTCATACTCGGCCGGTAGTGTGTCCAGAATGAGATATGATTCCTTGTTGACACCGATCAAGTCACCGGGCTTCAGCGTTTCGTGGTCGACAAGGCCAATGAGCGGAAGGAAGATCGTCTGGCGGGTGGAGGTCTTGATGACAGCAGATTTGCCTACGCGGGTGGCATCCAGGTCGATATTAGCCCCTTCCTCTGCTGCCTCTGCCTCCACATCAAGATCCAATAGCTCGACGACGTTTCCAACAAGGTATGGTAGTTGCCTAGGTAATCGCAGATGAAAACGTCAGTAGGCTGTTGAGGGTAAAGCGTATTTTCGCCGACCCGCAAGCCGGCCATCAAGCTCCGCGGGCTTGCCGAACAGCGAATACGGGGACCAATGAATGCACACCTGTTGTTCTCAATCTTCTCTTGATTATCCTTCACCTTCTCCCTCATTGTGCTCTGCTCATGCGTCAAACGCTGGAACTCGCTTTTCATGATTCGCATCTCATTCTCCAGCATCCGCCGTCGCGTAACGATGTCTGCCGTGCTTGAGTTCAAGATATCCTCGTCGAGCATTTCTTCTTCTTCATCATTTTTGTCGGCATCTTTCATATCAGCATCACCGTCACCTTCGGGCTTCTTGCCATCGCCATCGTTCTGGTCTTGCTTCTTGTCTCTCTGCTCCTGCTCAAGGTCGTCGAGGTCCTCAAGAGTCGACATGATGGAATCGAGGAATTAGGAATTATGGGGTCAGAAAAACAGAAGTTCGGAAATGAAAACCCAGCAGGCCAATATATTGGAAAAGGATGGGGTAAGATGAGAAAAGGTTGCTGGGAGGAAGAGCTGCCGGTGGCCGAGCTTCCAACAACGTCAGCCATAGAGCGTCACGTGATCTGAATCTACGTTTATAATCAAGTGCGATTCGATTCTATCTACTCCGTACTTGAGTCAATTTTGTTTTGTACAATGTGAATGTCTTCTGTCGATCTATTTTGTGCAGGTATCACACAGAATCTAGATGTACCAATAAGGATTGAGGGGATTACCTCTGACATTGCCCAAGTTGTCCAGCACCTCTTTCCGGCCGAACTTGAGCAGACGAAGTCGAGAAATGTAGTCATCGTTGTTGACTGGCACTTCGTTAGTAGAGAAACATGAAAGAAGTGCTATCAGTAGTACGTACCGTAGCCACCACACATTCGCCTCTTTCCAGTAAACTGGGCGCGGCCATGTAACATCCTCCAGTTATCGAATACTTAAGACAAAACATGTAAGCTGAAGTGGCCGTAAAAAAGGTACGAAAGACTTACTGAGCGCTGATCCTGGTTTTAGCTTCGTCCACATTTCTCTGGTCTGCAAGATCTCGTTATAGTGGCGCGCAGCGCGGTACCATGTGGTCTGTTCCGATGCAGACCAATTGGTCTTTGGTGCACGATCATAGTTGTTCCAGCGGATCTGGTACATTGTATTCATGTCCGGGTGTATCGAAAATACCGGTGACATGGCGGATGGTTGGATGCAGGTGTCTTCGTTCCCGCTTGCATGCCACGGCTGCCTATGGTTTACCAATTGGGCATAATGCTCAGGTCTCTCGAGGCGTAGTTGCTCTGCAGCTGCAAATCCATCAATTAGGAGATTCTCTCCCCCAGATCCTTCGGTATGGGATAGCAGATGGAAGAGCTGAAGTCTTGCAGGATCTGTGAAATAAGTGTTGTCTGTATGAGCACCCAGGAATTCATTGGTGTATGCCGTGTCTTTAAAAGTCAAATCGGCCGTGAAGTCCCAAAAGCCGCCTGCAGCTATGTTAGCTGAATGATACATCAGTGAATCTTGGGTCTAGGGTACATACCATAATGAGTGTTCCTGATGAACGCAATCCGCTCGATGAGATATTGAGTTGCCTCTGGGTTGATAGGGACGTCGTCTACAAAACAGAATCCCTGATCCCACTTTATAGATGTTAGCGAGTTTGATCAAGAAGCCAAGATAGTGGGGGCTTACAATGTGACTCAACCAAATATGAAGAGATTCATCGGCTGACATGACATCGTCATATTTGACTCTGGGACTCTGATCTGGATCAACGACTGGGGTAAACTGCCTTCTATGGCGTCAACATCATTCTGTGACTTTGATCCCTTGGCTTTGAGTAACTTACCTGGGACGTCGCTGTGCTGATTGGGGATATGGCACCGACTTGGTTCCTTCAATGCTAGATATGCCCTGTGAGTGTGCATAAAGCCAAGCATACGGATAAAGCCCCATGTGGTTATCAGACCCTGTGGCAGTGTTAATGACGGTAAAAGGGTCAAAGTTATGCATGCCATCTCTCACACTTGATCTCGACCATATTATCACTGTGTTCAATTGACTCTATCTCAACCTCCTGCGGAATCTGTAGGTGTAGTATCAGAGAAATGTAGTACAGGGAGCTGTGAGGTTTCCTACCGAAAACGTGTCGCTTATCCTCTGCATCGTATCCGGATGAATACATTTGGGACACTGGCAGTTTTCTCTAGTCGTAGGCATCACGTTGTCAATAAGTGGTCGAGCTTCTAGTTTCATGCCTTAGTCACTAACCTGAGGAAAAAAAGACCACTATAGAATGCAAGTTAGCTGCTATTCAGCTTCTTTTGAAGTTGCAACAAACTTACAAATTTAACGCGATTTCCTGGCCCTTTTTGTCTTTACCTGGGAAAGTTACTATATCGGACCTAGACCCAGCAAGTTGAGGACCATTCCGGGCCGTCTTGGTGAGCAATCTTGAGAAACCAGGTGTGACATGCCGGTGGCCAGTCGTCTATGACCAACAGAACAAAGAGATCGAGTTAGTTTTTGTATGATCAACTTCAGTGTATATGATGCATTGAATCCATACCAAACCACCAGCGGGGGAATAGCGGGGTCTCAGGCTTTTGGGTCTAATCCGAGAGGATTTTAGCGTTGAATGTTCAAAGATGAATGGGAGATCTTACCCGGCGCGACTCCATAGCCCACTCAACCTGAGTGCTGTACGCCAGGTGAAGCTCATGCCTGATATGGAGAACGAGGGGTACTAGGTTCAAGGACAAGGAGATGTGTAGCAGTGCTTGGACAAATCCGGGGTAGTAATTTAATTTGAGGGCCAACCGAGGTTGCGGTCACGTGCGTGTGTGTATACAAGCATACATAGATAGTCTCATTTTCTACAAAACTGGCACGCGGTGATAAAGAAAGTATTTATTGTTTATATTTTGCAAAGCAAATTACATGCGATTGAACTGAGCTTTGGTATAAAACATCACAGCTTGCTCTTTGCTCCCGTCACCTTCAACAGACAACGGCCATTGCTCAACACAACTCGACCCTTGTCATTCTTGGTAACAAAGCGGATCTCCTCATAGCCATCCTGGATGTTGCCCATTCTCCAAATTTCAGTGGTAAGCTTATCGCCGGGCCGGACGGGCGAGGCAAAGCGAGCCTGGAACTCCTTCATATTGGCGGGGTTACTACCACCCAATTCGCGCAGAATCCCGTGCGCAGCAGAATTCCAGCTGAAAAGGCCGTGGATAATAATACCACCAAAGCCCATCTTCTGACCAGGCTCTGGTGTAGCGTGGAGAGGGTTGTAGTCACCGTTGAGACTGGGCAACGAGTTAGCACTAGATGTTTCAAGTATACAAGCTGGACCATGTATGCACTGAGTACTTACCGGTACAGGTGGGCTGTCTCCGAGTTGCTCTGAACAACATGGGTAGCGTCGGGGGCCTTGCCCTCGGGCGGGGCGTAGTTGACGGTGCTAGGTCCTGCCCGAACACGTCAGTTGAACCTTCACGCTGATAGTCAAACTACAATCTTACCCTTCGGACCTCCCCAGCCACCCTGTCCGACCAGGAAGCCGCTGGTCACGACCTTGCTGTACACCTCGCCGCTCTCCTTATCCACAATAGACTGCTCGGTCTCGATCACAGTACCAGGCTTGCCTTTATCATAGACACCAATGACCTTACTGCGCAGCTCAAACTTGCGCCCTGCACTAGTGGTGGGAAGCGGCTTCAGAATCGTGATCTTACGCTGGCCATCGACGCCATGACGATGGTCCAGGTCGGGGACACCTGGAATGTGGACTGCCTTCTGGCGGGCATAGAAATCAGTCACCTCCTGATCAGTGAGCTTGAATGCTAATAGTTTTGGAGTTAGTGCAATTGCCTGAAAGTACCTGCGGCGCTCAACGTACGGAGGATGAGAGAATAGGTTGGGAAGACTGAGAAGTTCGGGTGAAGTTCCTGGATACTAGTTAGATTATGGTATTTAGACAGGTATACATGTGGATTGTGGCATACATAGAGGAAGTGCAGCTCGTCGGCCTTGACACCAATGCTGTTGGCGAACAATAGCACATCGCGCTTCTGCCAAGAGACCTCTTGGGCAGGGAATTCGTGACCAGCTCCAGGGGCCGACATTGGAATAGTAGTATGAAGTGAGTAATGAATACGAGATCAGATAAAAAAAAAGGGTCAAAGAGGGAAAGGAAAAAGGCGCAGTGGCAGACTAAAGTAGCTCTGGTAATTGCGGGGGCCATCAAGGAGCCGAGGATCTGATAAAATTTTGGATTTGTTCCCGTGGTTTTGCCGACGAGGGCATCTCCTTGGCACAATTTCCCCTTGCAGATCTTACGGTGAAGGTTTTCTTTTAAGCCTTTTAAGCCAATGATATCGTCTACATCGTTGGAAAACTTGTCCAGAAGAAGAGCGTTGGAGTTTGCTAGACTAAGCATCGACTCGGGTATCTACCTGGAAATTCGAGGAGCTTCAGAATGATATCCCTCCGTCCGCGCCACAAAATGCCGTTTTCCTGCCTCCCAAGAACTAAACGCCGAAATAAACAAAGGCGAAATCAGATATCCGATTCGCCTTGGGCAATTTCATACATGCCCATGCCAGGATGCATTGCGTGACAAAATATTTCACTTAGATCGTGCAAACGTGCAGTTGTACATCCAATGAAATCAGATTAGAAAAGTGGAACAAAATTAACACCTGTGATGCATTAGTATGATGACCTTAAAAACGAACCAAAGCAAAATGCCAGGAAACTTACATGCGGTAGAAGCAGCCACCCTCAGCAGCGCGGGTGGCATCAGGGGTCTCGAACTTGTACGAGATGCTGATGTCCAAGTCACGCTTGTTCTTATCGTTAGGGCGGTTCTCAACCCAGCCGGTGACACGCTCATCCTCCTCGACAGTGAGGACATCACGTAGGTAGAACACGGTCTGCTTCCAGTGAGTGTACTTGGCGTGAGGGCCAGTGGAGAAGTGAATGGGCTTGTGGCAGGCGCTGAACTCGATATCGAACCAGGCGATCAAGGCGTGGATGAAGTCGGGGCGCTTGGCGGTGAGGGCATAAGGCACCTTGAAGGCAAGGTCGGCCGTGGTGACAGTGTTCAGATCAAAGGTGATGATCGGGCAGGGATCGGTCACAAGAGCCTTCATCTCGACGGTATCAACGAGGGGCTCGTTAAGAGCAATCTCCTTCATGGGGCTGTAGTCAAATCCGTAGACGTTGTCCCAGACTGAAAATGGTTAGTACACCGGGGAAAAATAACGTCCAAGGTAAAATTGTTGCTTACATCCAATCTTGTCATCCTTGTAATCGCCATCCTCAATACCAGCAACGTACATGGTGGCCTTATCCGGGAAGATCAGACCACCGGGGTTGAGGTAGGTGTCACGGGCGTAGAGAACGGTGTCCAGCATGGACTCGTACAGAAGGAAGTAACCCATCCACTCGGAGATGATGATATCAACCTTAGGGAAAGGAAGGTTAACTTCCTCCATCTTACCCTGGAGAAGAGTGATCTTATCGGACAGTCCGTTGACGTGGACAATCTGACGGGCCTTCTCGATGATGGAGGACATATCAACACCAATGACGTGCTTTGCGCCAGCACGAGCAGCAAACCTGTTAAACAAAACCGTTAACAAGAGATGTAAGAGCACGGGCTTATTATCGGATACGTACATGCTCAGAATACCAGTTCCACAGCCGACATCAAGGACGACCTTGTCCTTGAAGATGTGGCGGTTTTGGTAGATGGAGTCGCGGTAGGAGCGTGTGCGCACATCATCTTTCTAGAAGATAGGAAAATGAATGTTAGAGACCGTAGAGAGCCAATTGGCCAGTAAATTTGTACTTACAAGCATCTCCTCGTGGATACCTGGGGCAGCGCAGAAAAAAATGATCGTTAGTCAAAATTCACCATCACTTGATCAAGATAATTTACCGTGGTGGTCGTAGCTAGAAATTTATTAGCATCAACTTTCCAAAAGATCCAATCGATGGAGAATAACGTACCTAGTGAAGTAGCGGACTTCAGAGTGCTCCATGCCAACCATGCGATCAGCACTGCTGGTGATCCCCTGAGGGCTATCGGATTCGGTGTCCATCTTGACTGTGCGGAAAAGAAGAACGGGTCGAAAAGGAAGAATAGAGAGGCGTAAAAAAAACCAATAGGAAGGATGTTAAAGATAAAAAGTCCAACCGAGATCGATCCCTAACTTTTTTTTTCCTGGATTATTTGCCCGCCCGCCAAGCTTAACTCCAACCCCCGCCCGCGCTAGCCGTATTAAGGGATCACGTGTATATACACGTGATACTACTTGCCCTCATTTCTGTAGGGCTATCCGCGTGGCATAGTTGTACAGCTGGGAAGTTCTACAATGTTGTAGGTATAATAATGCGTTACTGCATTCTACGAGTGTGAGATTATGTGGAAATAGCACTTATAGCACTTATCCAAGGATAGTAAGCACCAATTGGCGATACTCGATAGTTAGAGTAGGTTAAACGTGCCATTGGCCATGCTTTCCTTATGAGTGAACTACGAACACCCACATGCAATAACGCCATATGATGAGAATCATAAAACATAAATAAGGTCAATTCCATTTCAATTGAAGTTGTACAAAGTAGGTCAGTAGCGCTGTGGGGTAAAAAAAGGAGCTGGCTTGATCTTGCCAAGACCACCGAGGCTCTTCGATGCCGCTGGCAGCTCCGCTCCACCTGCCATTCTTCCTCAAGCTTACGCGTTGAATGCCTAAGACCTTTGAACTCAACTCTGGCCCACAATGAATCTGGGTGTAGGAAGAGTGAATCTATACACTCTTTTCGCTTTCGCTTTTCTAGCATCCCTCATTGGTAGGTCCAACGCATCATTAGGAGACCATCTCCCCGACTTCAAAGAATGTGTCCAGGTACGACTCCCGCGAACAACAGGCACTTGGAAATAACTCAACTCACAACTATAGGTCTGTACAACGGAAAATTGTCAGAACGGCAATTCAGTGCTACGTATGTTGTAATCATTATTCCAACAGTTCCCCGCGTTTCCCCTTTGCTGACCTCTTTAGCTCTGCACCACCGCTTGCTACTATGGACCTGCCCCGCTGAATGTGACTACACTTGTCAACATGTCATTACCGACCGTCGAGTTTCGCGTGATCCTCCAATGATCAGCCCGATTGTACAATTCCACGGAAAATGGCCATTCCGTAGGCTCCTAGGGATGCAGGAGCCCTTCTCAGTGCTCTTCTCCTTCTTCAACTTCGCCGCCCACTGGCACGGCATGTCCCGTATCCAGGAGTCGATCCCCGCCTGGCACTCGCTCCGCCCATACTACATGATGTTTGGATACATTGGACTTGCAAGCTGGAGTTTCAGCGTGGTATTCCACATGCGCGATTTCCCCTTGACCGAGAAGCTGGACTATTGGGCGGCTGGCGCCAACGTGCTGTACGGTCTCTACCTTGCCGTCGTTCGAATCTTCCGCCTGGACCTCGAAAATACACCATACCGGCCAACCCTACGTCGGCTTTGGACTGCTATCTGCGTTCTGCTATACACATTGCACGTGGGTTATCTTACCTTCTGGTCTTGGGACTACACCTACAATATGATCGCGAACGTAGTGGTTGGCGTTATCCAGAACCTCATGTGGACCGGGTTTAGTATCTTCCGATACCAAAGGCTTTTGAAGTCTTGGACCGCCTGGCCTGGTATGATTGTGGCGTGGATAATCATGGCCATGAGTTTGGAGTTGCTCGATTTCCCCCCCTGGAATGGGTTGATTGATGCGCACAGCCTCTGGCATCTGGGTACAGTGGTCCCCGCTGTTTGGTGGTATTCGTAAGTCCTCTCCTTTTGTACAACATATTTCCATGACTAATGCGTCGGTTGCTCCCGACAGGTTCCTGATCAAGGACACACAGGACGACATTGCGGCGCATAGGTTAAAGGCGTGAAGAGGAACTTTGGCAAAATCTGGCGATCTTTTTATATATACATACTCAGGATAGCACAAGACATGTGAATATGTCATGCTTGACTGTAGCTTAGAATGTGGAGGTAGCAGTAATGAAGATTGGGGTGCTCCCCACCGGAGTGTTTACCATTGCAGGTAATTTCCACAGCGCCCAATGCAGGTAAATATGTTATTGCCACGTCCTTTGCCGCGCCATGGTCTGTGTTCCCCACCGTTCCCTCACCGCTAAGGCCGTCGCAATAAACCATGTCTCACCCCAACCCCTCAGCCGCTTTTTTTTTGTTTCAAGTACTCCCCTCCTCTTCAACTTCGACTTTACCAGAAGCTTCAGAGCACCTATCCTCTTGAAACTTCTTACGGCGCCTTCTAACCAATCACACATTTGCGCCATGGCCTCTCCGGCTATCAAGAAAGCGATCACCGAGGCGGCGTTGCAGTACACAAAGCCTGAGGGCAAGGTATTTGAGTATGGCACAGCAGGGGTATGTTTGCATTGCTGAATGAACATTCTACTGTAGAGACTCGGCTAATTTCCGTTCTCTCTGCTATAGTTTCGCATGAAAGCGTAAGTTTTCTTCAAACATGGCTGATCTACCCCGCCTCCACATCTCTACAACCCCGCGATCATCCTTTTGTTGACGCCGACTTGTTCTGACCAATCTGGCTGCGCAGCGACCTCCTCAACACCGTTGTTTTTGCTGTGGGCTTGCTTGCAAGCCTACGGTCGAAGAAGCTTAGCGGACAATGGATTGGTGTTATGGTTACTGCTAGCCACAACCCCGCGGAGGACAATGGTGTCAAGTTGGTTGACCCCATGGTAAGTCTAAACCATTGATCCCTGCTATAATACTAGCCCCGTTAGGACAAGTCTAACCTTATATTTTCTTTAGGGTGAGATGCTTGAAGTAAGATTGGCCTGCGCTGAACGACCGAATTTGGAATAACGTACTCACTGTCATAACTAGGCTGAGTGGGAGGCATACGCGACAAGACTGGCAAATGCCCCATTGGATAAGATCGCCGATGTCTACGATGAACTTATCAAGGAAATCGACGTGAAGATGACCAACCCTGCTCGTGTAGTCTTCGCTCGTGACACCCGTGCTTCTGGCTCCCGCCTGGTAGGCGTACTGAATGCCGCTCTTACCGCGACGGAGGTCGAGTTTGTGGACTTTAAATACATGACCACTCCGCAGCTCCACTATGTTGTTCGCTGCAAGAACACCCTTGGGACACAATACGAGTATGGCGAGCCGACTGAGCAAGGATACTATGAGAAGCTCGCAAACTCCTTCAAGAAGGTTATGCGGGGAGTCAAGGTCCAGGGTTCCTTGACTGTGGACTGCGCCAACGGTGTCGGCGGACCTAAATTGAGGGAACTGATGAAGTACCTCAATGGAATCGATATTAAGGTTGTCAACGATGATGTGATCAACCCTGACGCCCTGAACTTTGATGTATGCTTCCACCTGCCCAATACAAAAATTTCGACCAACCTAACACTTCATGCAGTGCGGCGCCGACTATGTTAAGACCAAGCAACGTGCTCCTCCTTCTTCCAAAGCTGCTGTGCTTGATCGATGCGCTTCGCTTGACGGTGACGCCGACCGTCTTGTTTACTACTTCCTAGACGAGAGCAACGTATTCCGTCTTCTGGATGGGGATCGCATTGCCACCCTTGCGGCATCTTTCATTGGCGATCTTGCCCGCAACGCTGGAATTGCTTCGAAGCTGAAGATTGGTGTCGTCCAGACTGCCTATGCCAACGGCGCCAGCACAGATTACGTGGAGAAGGTCCTCAAGCTCCCCATTATCTGCACCAACACCGGCGTGAAGCACCTTCACCACGCCGCGCTGCGGTTCGATGTTGGCGTCTACTTTGAGGCCAACGGACATGGTACCGTCACCTTCTCCGAGAATGCCCTAAAGGTCATTAAGAACACCGAGCCTCAATCGCCGGCGCAGCAGCACGCCCTGGAGAGCCTCCAGGCCCTGACCGACCTGATTAACCAGGCTGTGGGTGATGCCTTGTCCGACGCACTTCTTGTGGAGGCCATCCTCGCCCACAAGGGCTGGTCACCCAAGGAGTGGCTTGGAACCTACACTGACCTTCCTTCCCGCCTCGTGCGTGTCGAGGTCAATGACCGTTCCATTTTCAAGGCGTATGATGCTGAACGTAAGCTTGAGTCTCCTCCCGGCCTGCAGGGCACTATCGAGTCTCTTCAATCTCGGTACAACAAGGGCCGCAGTTTCGCCCGTGCCAGCGGTACTGAGGATGCCGTCCGTGTCTACGCTGAGGCTGCCAGCCGCTCCGAGGCGGACGACCTCGCCACTCGCGTCGCCAACGCTGTTAGCGAGGCAGGCAGCGCCTAATAGATTCCCTAGTCCAAATTGGATTTGCCTAGTCCAAATTGGATCCTCGGCCTTGACAAATGCCCCTAGGGACCACTTTCTCTCTAGGCTGTATTGCAATTATTACACTGGCCTTTGTGGCTTTAGGCAGCGGATACCTCTTCAACTCTATGGACCCCCGGAAGTATGGTCCAGGAAAATATTCGATATCATTTTGACGCAGTAATGAAATCTATGGGTTCTTTCACATTACATACTTAAAACGCCCCAAATTCGTAAGATACACCACTATTCATGTATAAGAAAAGCCAATGAACCAGTATGAAATTTAGCCCTCTTCCTGGTCCATGGCATCGCGACTTCGTTTACCCTTGAACGAGAACTTTCCTTTGCCCTTAGCTCCCTTCTTCTCGTCGTAGTGCTTCATCGCCTGAATGGCATCACGCTGCGAAGCACTCACTTGCTCAGCAAAGACCATAGCCTCATCTTTTGGAGCGGGGTACTCGGCCAACTCTTTGCCCATCGCAGCCTCTATACGCTGCCAGATTTCCACATCATATTGCGTGACAAAGGAGATGGCGGTTCCGGACTTTCCGGCACGTGCTGTACGGCCTACTCGATGGATATAGGTCTTACTGTCGGTTGGCAAGTCAAAGTTCAAAACACAGTCCACAGAGGGGATATCCAAACCGCGGGCAGCAACATCGGTAGCAACCAGGATCTCGCGGCTCTTCGACCGGAATTTTCCCAGTGCTCCCAGGCGTGCAGATTGAGACATCTGACCATGGAGAGGGATTGCGCCGAAGCCTAGACCGCGCAGCAGGAAAGCAATACGCTGCGTCTCATGAACGGTGCGCATGAAGATAATGACGGACTGGCCGATAAATTCGTGGAGGAGGTAGACAAGGTAGATGTCCTTGTGTTTATAAGGACGAAGGATATAAGTTTGCTGGAGGGTTTCCACGGTAGCGTACTTGCTAGAAGAGATCGAGACGCGGGCCGGATTTGACAGCGAGGCTCGCTGGAGGGACTCCACCTTTGAGCTCAAAGTGGCGGAGAATAGGAAGGTTCTGCGCTCGCGCGGCAGGACCTTCAGGATCTTATCGAGAATGGGGCCGAAATCCATATCGAGGAGTCTGTCTGCTTCGTCCATGACGAGGAATTTTAAGTTGCGGAGGGAGAAGCCCTTTGTGTTCTCGAGGTGGTCGAGAAGTCTGCCGGGCGTGGCAACGATGATGTGAGGTTTCTTTCCCAAAGCGATTGACTGAGGAACCATGTCCATGCCACCGACCAACGTGGTGGATCTGACGTTGATTGTTGCACCAAGGGACTCGCATGCTAGTGAAATCTGGTATGCCAGTTCACGGGTCGGGGCCATTACGAGCCCAAAGAACGGCTGGGGTCTCTCCATGAGTGCTATAAGACTCGTTAGCATCGTAAATGAAGATATATGTCGTCAAATATGCACAAACCTTGAAGAATTGGTAAAACAAACGAGGCTGTTTTTCCAGATCCTGTTTCAGCCAATCCGATAATATCACGACCCTGAAGTGCCAGCGGGATTGATTCAGACTGGATTGGTGTAGGGGCCTTGTATCCCATTTTGTCGCAGGCCTCGCAGAGCGAGTCAATCAGACCCAATTCTTTGAACGTTTTAGGGGCGGTGGAAGCGCTGGGATCGGTCTCAGAGGAAGCATCTTTGACGTTGGGGTCATCAGCAGTGGTTTGGGGGCTTGAATCACTCTCGCTATCTTCAATGTCGGGGTCCTCAGCTGTGCGTTGGGGGCTTGAAGAGCTTGCATTCGATGAAACGTCCCTGTCTTCAACAGGTGCCGCAGGCACCGCGTGCGCGACCTTGCGTTTCTTGGTAATCGGCATAGGCATATTTGATTTGCGTTTTAAGAAAAAAAGAAGTTGTCCATGTTCAACTATCTCGAAAATAATTTAATGTGGGGCCGCAAGATTATTGATCCGGCGCTGTTTCTGATGTTAATTTTTGGAGAAAAAAAACCTCGGAGCTGTTCGATTTAGTATCCATTGCTTTCCCCCATCCAATTTTATTTTTCTCGTCTCTCACATCAAAATGGCCAAGCAACGTGTCAAGAAGCGCACTCACCAGAAGCCGCAAAATGCTTCCGCTGTGAAGGGCAGCGCTGCCTCAATGTCCAAGACTCCGAAGTCTATGGTCATTCGAGTAGGTGCTTCTCAAGTCGGTAGCAGTGTGACCCAGTTGGTTAAAGATGTCCGTCGTATGATGGAGCCCGATACCGCTGTGCGATTGAAGGTATGATTCACAATCAGTGTTCTTCTCGCTCTCTCTAATGAACAATATAGGAACGCAAATCCAACAGACTGCGGGATTATACTGTTATGACCGGTCCCCTCGGTGTCACTCATCTTATGTTGTTTTCCAAGTCCGCAACTGGAAACACAAATATGCGACTCGCTGTTACTCCCCGTGGACCCACCCTTCACTTCAAAGTCGAGAACTATTCGCTGTGCAAGGATGTCGAGAGATCGATGAAGCGCCCAAAAAGCGGCGGACAGGACCACAAGACACCGCCCCTGTTGGTCATGAACAACTTCACCACACCAGACGCAACCGAAGATTCTAAAGTGCCGAAGCGGCTCGAGACCCTCACAACTACGATCTTCCAATCCCTCTTCCCCCCCATCAACCCCCAAAACCAGCCTCTATCTTCCATCCGCCGTGTCATGCTTCTCAACCGAGAGCCTGCCGAAAAAGATAGCGACTCATATATCTTGACTCTCCGTCATTACGCCATCGCCACGAAGAAGACCGGTGTATCGAAACGAATCCGTCGCCTGGACCCCAAAGAGATTCGGAACCGAGACAAAAAGAAGACTGCCGTTCCCAACCTTGGAAAGCTAGAAGATGCGGCCGATTACCTGCTCGACCCCTCTGCTGCAGGCTACACATCAGCAAGTGAGACCGAGCTAGACACCGATGCCGAAGTGGAAGTCCAAGAGAGCACGACCCGCCGAGTCCTGAACAAGCGGGAAATGCAGCGCCAAAAGGCTGCTGAGAAGGGCCAGGATAAGCCAACCCATACCACCGGTGTTGAGAAGCGGGCTGTGAAGCTCGTAGAGCTGGGTCCTCGCTTGCGGCTTCGCTTGATGAAGGTTGAGGATGGAGTCTGCGATGGCAAGGTCATGTGGCATGACTTCATTACGAAATCCGAGAAGGAGATGCGGAAAATGGACCAGAGCTGGGACGTTCGGAGGAAGGAGAAGGAGCAAAGAAAGAAGCTGCAGAGGGAGAATATTGAGCGGAAGAAGCAGGAGAAGGCCAAGGCTAGGGGCAGTGGCAAAGAGGTGCCCGAGGAGGATGAAGATGAGGATATGGATGATGAAGATTGGCTCAGCGATGATGACTTTGACAAGGACGCTGAGGGTGAGGGTGAAGCGGCAGATGACGACTCTGAAGCTGATTCGGACGAGTCTATGGAGGAGTAAGTGGCTGCATTCTTGAAGTCATCGCACCACACCTTTCCGAAAGCTTCTACCTGATCGCTTGGTGGACGATCCGGTTCTTGCGATTGAACAGACTCGAGCATTCGACTCGTGCCGACTTGTCTGTCACACTGGTAGACTGTATCCAAAATGACTCCGTCTTCACGTCTTATATCCATGTTATATGGACCAAAATTTCTATCACTGTCACATACCCGATAGGCATCTAGGCGTTTTTCAGGTTTTGTTTCATATAATGCAATCTTGCGATTTTACCCTTCGTCCTTCGTCCTAAAATTGAACTCGACTTGTCTCCATTTGCGAGCTCTGTCCTTTTTCTGCTTTGAACTAATCAAATTTCTAGCTGTATATCTTATTCGCCATGATCAATGGGGAAATTCCTGTTCCAAATGTACAGACTAGCTCATTGTAAGATAGAAAGCCGAGGATAATACATTTTGCCTTGCCTTCACTGAATATTGCAACGGCTTTGAGTGACGGAGATTTGATATCCATGACTCTGGTCTATTTCTTCAGCCGTTCATCGACGATCCTGTTCACCATCTTCTCCAAGATAGCGAAATCTCCGCCGGAGGTACCAGCGAAGTATCCCTGCACGCTCTTCTCAACATACTTGCCCACGATATCGATCTCAACATTGACAAGGTCGCCGGGCTTTTTCGCCGCAGTGACAACCTTCCCCTGCGTGTAGGCAATGAGCATGACCTCCCAGTATCCGTCCTGCCCATCGACGACCTTGGTGACAGTCAAGCTAGCACCGTCGAGGGTCACGTAGCCCTTTTCCACAACATAGCGCAGAATATCTCTATCGCGCGGCTGCAGCCGGAACACCAACGAGTTTCCATCGGGCGTGACAGACAGAATCTCCGCAACGGTATCGACATGGCCCTGCACAAAGTGTCCTCCCATCCGGGTATCAGCCGAAACGGCGCGCTCCAGGTTCACGTTGGAATTCGCCTGCAAGGAACCCAGGTTTGTGCGTCGCAACGTCTCCGGCGCACAGCCAACCTTGAACCAGGTCTTATCGAATGCAGTGACCGTAAGACATGTCCCTTGAGTCCACTTTTAGACAATATCCCATGTATTATAGACAAAGAGCATAATACCATTCACTGCGATACTATCGCCGAGGTGGGCGTCGGTGAGGATCTCCTCACAGTCGGAGATGGTGAGCGACGTTCCCCCGCCCCCGCTCGACGAGGTGTCGATGGGCTCCAACGCCGTGACAGCTAGTAAAACCACGTTAGCTATTGACTTTACTTCGAAGAAAGACCTGCTTACTTCCAATCGTCTCGACAAGTCCTGTGAACATAGCTGCGGTTGATGATCTACAAGGAAAATGCCCCGGTGTGGCCTCGGCATCAGCCCCTCCGAGCGGTGTCGGCGTCGGCGTTTTGGCGGAGATTCGCCGGTTTCCCCAGATCCCATTTAACTGGGGATCCTTTCTATTTGGGCTTTTGTTTGAGCGTCATTTTTTGGTTTCGCTGCGCTCTCCGTATATATCATCATGACGGTCACGCTCAGGT